ATTTATAACTTGTGTTGGGCAAGGCCGTGGTCTAGGCAACATGGAGTTTTCCTCCGGGGGCTTCCCCGGTTTCTCTGTGGCATCCCAACAATTACTCCATTCACACACAGAAGAAGGCAATGGCAAACCACTTCTGGATCACCTGCCAAGAAGGTATATGAACAGGCCCCAGTCCGAGAAAAGGATGGAAGGATCCTGTTCATATGGACCTGTCGTCAGACAGAACACTAAATAAATAATACCTTACATTACATTTCATTACATTACATTACATTCAGCTACCACAGACCCATCTTAAGCGTAACTAATTCAAGTTAAATAAGCAAAGTCTTAATCAAACTTTACTCAATTGTAAAGCGGGTATAAAGGAAATATTTAGAATAAAGCCAATATATAAACTTCCTTTCCGTATAGACGTATTTACGTCTAATTCTCCAGAACCTTGGTTCCACTATCACTTTTTCTCATGGCAAATATGACCACAACCAATTCATTATGGCTGCATCAAGAAAAGTAAAATAAAATGAAATTCTAGGCATGTATGTACAGATCTGTATGGTTAACTTAAAGAAAAACAAATTTTCTAACATCCATTACAACAGGGTCTGAATGATAAGTAAAACAGAAGTTTTAACATCACTGATATTAATCGATATGTGAAAAATAAGGCACGAAATACAATTACAGGCTATAGGTTCATACCTTCATAAGAGACATGCCACATAGTGCGGCAACAGCTGCAAGTTAGATTCCTTACTGTTACTTCAAATTAAAATTGGAAAAAAACATTTTCTGTTTGCAAGTAAGTCACCATTTTCAATAAGTTTGAATATACACTGACATGCTTGTTTGCAAATTTTCTTTTGAGGGTAATTTATAAATTAAACAAGAATTATCAATATTACTCCCCTTTTATTTTAGCTATCAAAAATTTCTGGTGGCTGCACTTAAAGAATGACAATTCTAGAAAGACTGGAACGTGTTACAAATGTTTCAATGATTCAATACCTTCAAATAAATTATCATCCTCACTACTCTTTCCTTCATCCTCCATTCCATTTTGGTCGCAGTTTCCACAGTCCTCATCATTCAATGGTCCATCTAGTCCAGGTGATGCAGGATCTGTATCATCAGGTACATACAGATCTGACATCATGTAGTGTGCTGAAGTTACTATCTGAAGAAAGAATTCTGCCATTACAGATGTGGCAGTATGCACACGTCTAAATAATACGACGCCACTAATGTCCTGGTATTTCAACACTATAGATTAAACACTGCTAATTTATACTGAATGCAATCATGTGCAAACTCAATCCCACAAATATAATGTTATTACTGACAGTGTATAAAATTTTAAAATTTATTTTGAACAAACTAAATGTTCTATTAAATTTACATCAGTATTGACCAAAACAGTAAATGAAAAATATTATTTTTACTAAATTGGCAAGTTGGCCGTGGAAGGAGGTTCTGACAGGAAAATAACAATTCCTGCACGATAGACTGGTTGTAGAAGCCGCAATCCCTGGCTCCCTAAATCCACAGATCTAATGCCCACAAACTTGTTAAATACAATTATCTATGTTTCCCCACTCTTACCCTGTGAACTTAATAACCTATGCACTGAATCTGTGATATAATTGCAAGAATTGAACACAAGATCTTAAAAAATGCTTCAATATGTTTCCTGACCAAAATTCTGCATGGATGCTACTTTTAAAACAATGAAACTAAGCAAAAACAGGACAACTGACGTTACCTGAGAGTACTTCTCCTCCACAAACAGAGTCAGACAATTTTTAAGTAGTATTAAAAATATATTAAAATAGGCCATCAATCACAATATAAGATAATTAAAAGATTAAACTATCATTTTACGTTCCTTATCGAGTACTCGATTTACATGTGGAACATTTACGACATGTTTCGGCTATATATAGCCGTCATCAGGTGTTATGTTATAAACTTTTTAACTGAATTACTGATTTTTACTAATTTTAATGATTTTTAGTTTTCATTTTTCTTATCATGTTTTTTTCTTATCATATCTTATAAATTTTTAAGTAACACATGAATGGTCCCTTGCTGCCTCCGTCCATCTGACGAATGCTTCATATTTCTTGCTACCCTAAAACATAAACAAGTAAAATTTTGATAAACAACTTAACGAAACCTGAAAATTTGTTTAAAAGAATCACATAAATTATGGAGAAGAGAAACAAGAAAACAAAAATATGGTCCTGAAAGAATTTAAGATACAAACTATCTTTTAAACATAGAC